CCTATAAGCAGCAGTTCGTGTTCCTCAATGCATCCAAGCCGCTGATCTCATCGTACCATCCCTACGAGGCCACGTGGTAACGTAACTTATAAACCAAAGGAGTACTTGTAATTACAATAGTCACCGTTAATTAATACTCATATACTATTATTTAGTATTAATTTGGAAAAGCTCTCATATTTTTTATTATCTACAAAATGATTAATTATAATGACAAACACAAGAAACATCAATGTCACAGATAATGTATCACTATACCAGATAATGTATCAATATACCACCACCAAGCGTTGGGTGCAATGGTAAAGGCACCTGACACACATCAGGCGGACGAGAGTTCGAACCTAGAGCTGTGCTTGTTGGGAGGGGTTTACCGCCTTTGGTGCAAAGCACCTTACATGGGCGTGCCTAAAAAAATAACCCCGCTTCGGATTGGTCAGTTGCCCTGGGTTACCTGGTCCAGTTTAGAAAGCCAGGGACTCAGGAAAAGGCACTAGATACCGGGGGAATCGCGGGAGGGCCATAGGCCTCAATCTGCCCTAGATCACTAAAAAAAAAAAGATAATGTATCAATATCGAATCTCAAATTTGGTGCAAGTACAACATGGTTCCCATGAAAAAAATATATATTTATCATAATTAAATTTTTGGGAAAATGTATTATTCTTTCACCACTACCGGTTAATTAACATGATTTTTTTGTTCGAAAATTACAAAGATATTTTAGTTCCATTAAGTCAATTAAGTCTTTTTCTTCCACCAAAAAAAAAGAGTCTTTTTTAAAATTATTGCTTATGATCTCTAACTAATATACTCATGTTTTGAACGCTTACCACCTACCACATCTTCTCTTGCCACCTTTCTTATCTCTTGTGGTTACAGGTCAATTTTTCAACCATTTCTCCTGTTAAATTGCCTCTTTCACTCGCATTTTTTATATCATTTTACTTATATCTTTCAGAGAAGATCCATTTTGGGAATTAATTAAATTATATTAAGGGTCCCCCCATTCCAAAATCAATATAATAATTATTTGAAAGTTATTGATACTACTTCCTGACTCCATGATTTTTGAAAACTAATTGATAGAAATTGCCATGCCTTATTATTACTATTCAGCAATTTTTTGCTGATGCTTAATACTGCCTCGTGATTAATATAAAACCAAAAGGTTGATATATATAAATATATATTATAATTAATGATCAGAAAATAAACTATAGGTTTTGGCATCAAGGACTATTTGCCTAACTGATGCTATGGCCCCAATGACAACCAAAACTGAGGAAGCTAAAGCTATGAATGTGTTGCCCCAGAAGAGAAGGCTGCGTTTGGAGGGCTTGAAAGTAAGATTGAAGAAGACCATTGGCAAAATGAAGTCAATAGGAATGCACCCAAACGCACCAAGCACTGCCATTACATCTCCAAAGAATGGCAGCATCGCAGCCAATACTGTGGCCACCACCACTGATAATGACCTTGAAATCAATCTTGGCACAACATTTCTAATAGAGAACTCTCCCAGTTTTGGATCAGCAAACATCGTTTCGAACAATTCATTTGTTGGCTGCAAGTAGATCTGCAAAATGACGATATCATATTTGTTAAGACACTCAATTCTCCTTAATCAAATCTCATGAACAGGAGGGGAAAATCGCAGGTTGTCTCAACCTGAACTAACAAACGCTTTAATCTAGCTCGATAATAATGAATACTAGTAGATATTGTTTCACTGAATTAAAAGATAATTAATATTCAGTTCCATATATGTAATATAATCACGAAAAAGTCCCTTGATATGTCATGACATGTTGTCATTTCTTGTATCGAATCTTGTCACCGCAAATTTTTCACTTATTATGAGATTTTTTTTTGTTATTAGTAATTAATTAAATTGCTTATGTGAGATCTCCCTTAAATTAATGTGTCATGAAAGTTGTTTTCCACATGTCAGAAACTAAGAAATCAACCAATAATGATTAGATTTGCAAAATGATGATATCAGAGTTGTTCAGACAAATCTCATGAATAGGAGGGGGAAATCGCAGGTACTCCAAACATGAACTAACAATATTTGAATCTAACTCAATATATAATAATAGATATTAGATATTTGCATGAAACATACTCTTCCGATCCTAAATATAAAACCCTTATACTCACTAGTATAAGAGTCTTATATTTAGGATCGAAAGAGTACTATAGAATGTGACTGAGTTAATGGAGAATTACTATGCAGTCTCACACATAAGTAATTCAATCACTAGAAAGTCTCGTGAGTTGTCAATATGCCATGACTTGTTGTCATTTTCTTCACCGGATCTTCTTGTTACATATTTCCAACTCATTTGTGAGACTTTTTAGCGATTAGATTGCTTATATGAGACTTGAGAGTAATTATTTCTTGAATTAATGTGTCATGATAGTTGCTTTTGCATCAATTGAAAACTAAGAAATCTACCGATAATGACTAGACTAAGTGAAAGAAACTTGATTTCCTTAAAAAAAGGTTAAAAGTTCCAAGTTTGTGAATAGTATGTGAATCAATTGATGTGTCATGCAAAATGAAAGCATTGAATGAACTTTAATTTTGTTCTTAATTACCACAGTGACAGCGAGTACTTGTAGGAGAGTGAATAAGTTGGTGATCAAAAGAAACCAAGTGGGAAGAAGAGGCTTTTGTTGTTGTGCCATGAAGCTAGCAATAATAGTGACACTGGCTTGATTCCCAAACGCCCAATATCCTGATATTGCCACCATGAAATAAGTTGTGACTATCACACAATAGCATACACTTAGCCCTTTCAACATCTTCCCTTTCACAGGTGCTGCTATAGTTGCCTGCACCAAAATAGCTTAAACTATTTCATTAGGATTGCCATAAATTTATATACAGCATTTAACACTTTTAAATGTGACACTTCTTTCAAGACTTGTTGACATCTCTATGCATCCCTTATAATTTGTATAGTGATGTTAAGTCAATGTAGACAATTTATACATGCTTTAACAAGTTTTAATTAATACCAATAAATATTGGTCTAATTCATAAGGAATTGACTCGTAATAACCTACCAAATTGTAAATTCAAATCCTTCTGTTAATATGCAAACCTTATTAAAGATCGATTTATATGTATCTCTGTAAGTGTTTTTTGAGCTTAAAAATATGTCTTGATTGCTTCTGAGATCCATCTCACTTAAATTTTCATGTGTTAAAAAAAACAAGAAATTAAAGATAAAACATGTTCTAATTGATTACCTGTATTTCAGGAATGATACCACATGCATATGCGGTAGCAATGATTGAAATGCCATTGAAGACACCGAAGAGCTTGTCAATACTACTCCCATTCACTGCATAGCTTCTGGAGGCTGCAATATTCTTTGATTGATGACCTGAAATGTATACACACACACAGCACATATATATAGGAAGATATTTTCTTGTTATAGTTTTCTGTTGAAGAGGCCATGTGTATCTGTTCTGATTCAATTTGCTTACCAATATATATGGAACCAATTGTGGCACAAGCACTATAAGCCACACAGAGAATAAGAGATACAAGATTCATGTGCCTTAGGGAATGGAATGATGGAAGTTGAGCCAACCCTAATGTGATCACCCCACATATCACTATGAATTGGTACAGCCTCATTGTTCCTGCTGGGTTGTACAGAATGTAAATGAACTGCACATAAAAAGTTATAACACAGTTGAAAAGTTTTACTTTTATATATATATATATGTATATATTTATATCACTGAGCAGAAAATCTTGGAACGAAGAACATGACTGATGATTATCTGAATAAATTGAGCTTCCATTTTCTAACCTTGAGGCTTTGCCCTCCCACGAGAGGACCACTAATAACTGCGCCAAAGCATATAGCCAATTGAAGTGGGCCTACGTAGTATTTGGCCCATCTTGGCCCTGCATCAGTAAAACCAACTGTTGTTATGCAGAGGTTTGCTGAACACTAGTGGACATCGCAAGGGAGGGTTTTCACAGTTCATGGAAACTGTGCTGTTGTCTTAATGCTTCAGAATGATCGCTTGAGAGGGATATTGGCTTAAAAAGCAACCTATAATCCTTAATATAAGAACTACTCTTTGTGTACAAAAAAAAAAGAGCTACTTTTCAGTTAGATAACTTAATTTGGGGGGAAATAATAAATATTAGAGATAAAATGGATTGAGGTATATCTAGGACTAATACCATCATCCTAACTAGTTAGTCTCTAGGAGTATTATTTTTTAGTTTGATTGCAAATTGCTAGTGGATTGACTCACTAATAATATACTACCTCCAGTCCTAATTATAAGAGGTAGTTGACTAATTTAAGGAGATTAAGAAAACAAGTTAAGTTAGTTATTTGTAATAAATAGATGTTGTCTTTCCTAAAATATCCTTGCTGATCAAGTGTATTAGCTAGAACTACTATTATTAGAAGAACCATCTTGAAAAAAATACATAAATATAAGAGACAAAGTGGATTGGGGTCTTATAATTAGGACCAAAATAAAAATCAAATGAGGTCTTATATTAATAACCGGAGGTACTAACATTCAAATATGTGTTTACCACAGGGTGGGTGTGCATAAAAAAGATTATGAGACCTGATCGGTTTGTTCATATTCAGTATACTTTTAGAAAATCAAAAATATTATTGCAAAACAAGTCTTCATATGTGAAATGGATAATTCTACTTTGATGTGGCTCCTATATGTTAGATGCAGAATCACATCTTGGGATCTTTATCCCCACATTTGAGTAATACTCCATCCTATACTCAATATAAGAGTTTGTTTTACTTTTATTTTGCTTTGAAATATAAAACTTCAATCTATTTTGTTTCTCATATTTATCCTTTTTTCTAAGATAGTCATTGTAATAATAGTAATTCTACCAATACATTTAATTAACAAGGATATTTTAGGAAAAATAACACATATTTATCACAAATAACTAACTTAACTTTCTTAATCTCTTCAAATTAGTTAACTAACTTCATTAACCTTCAGTCCTTAATATAAGAACTAGTTGACTAATTTGAAGAGATTAATAAAATTAGTTATTTGTAACAAAAAGACATTGTCTTCCCTAAAATATCCTTATTAATCATGCGTGTTTGAATTACAAATTGATAGCAACTCCTTAACATATGTAACTATTATAGGGATTATTTTAAGAAAAAATAGATAAATATTAGAGACAAAGTGGATTGAGTCTTATAATTAAGATCAAATTGAAAATCAAACTAGTGCTTATGTTAAAAATTAGAAATAGTAACTCGTTTGTTAATAATAGGCTTGCAGCCTATTTCATAAAACCTTTTTTTTTTTTACCAGCTACTTCATAAAAGCCTGTTAGTAAGTGGAGAGCACAGTATGTATCCTGCTTGTAACCTCAACATGTTGCATGTGCGCCCCTCTGAGTCAAACAAATATGTCAACTTGTTTGGGCTTATTAGGCCCTCTCTTTGTCATTAACACAAAAAAAAAAAAACAAAGAAAGATGAGCATATATATAAATATAGAAAACATACATATAGATATAGATATAGATATAGATATATATAAGTGTGCAAAATGTTTGCCAATAAGAAGGAAGGATACCTAAAGTATGGGTGGCCATATCTCGGAAGCGAAGCAGACGATGCCCGAGCTGTGCATGGCGCTCCAAGACGAGAGATAAAAGATTATAAGAATAGAAAGTAACAAGACCAGCTAGGGTTAAAGACAAGACTCCACCAGGCCAGCCCAGAAGTGTGAATGAGAATGGCAGAGTCAAAAGCACCGGCCCCACTATCGATGTTGTCAGATGATACCCACTGTGCAACCATGATCCTGTTTATTTTCCCATAAGCCACACCATGACAGATTCTCCTCACAAATATACATCTGTGCGCGTGTCTTTTACTTAAAAATAATAATAAACACTTTCATCAATGGGATCAAAATTACGGCTTTAAAAGTGTTTTATGGTATACCAAGTAGACATGTGAAGAAGTTTATCTCGTTCTACAGAAAATTATCTTTAAAAAGTACTTTTCACCCAATCCAAACACTCCCAGAATCTCAAGTGATTCTGAAAGATTTAGAGAGTTACACGGATACACACAGTAACTAAGTTATGAGATTGAAGGAATCATCATTCATGTGGTAATAAAGCCAGTTTCAAATAAACAAAACTTCTGATAAAGCAGGAATTGAAACTGATGAAGAAGGCAAAAACTGTTTAACTATAACCTCGGGATTTGAGAACAAAGAGTGCTCCTGCGTCTAGTTGCTTTGGATCAGAGGGCTTGACGACATGGCCGTTTTCCTTGTTACTTGCAGGCACTTCTTCCACTGTCACAGAGCTATGAGGAACCGCTGTTTCCATCATCTTAATTTGCTTCAATCTCTCTCTCTCTGATTTCTTTTTCTTCTCTATCTCTCTCTTTCTGGAATAACCATTTATGATATGGATATAATAGGCAATGACAAGGAAATAAATAATTAACAAGAAACAATCATGGCAGGTTGTCCCTCACTGTTGAAAAGGAGCGATGTTAAAGTTCTCTGGAGGAAAATTGAGGACGCCGTCGAGTTATCTTTTTTCAAGGGTAAGTTTTGAGTGGGACAAAGATGCAGTGTAAGCAAATTTGACTTGGATAATTATTTAATACTATTTGTGCTTAGTTTTCACATCATATTATTCAATTTATAAGTCATGAATCATGACTATAAGAGTTAAATATAGTTAAGAAGTTAGTTTTATATATAGTTTTAGTTATTATCTTAATATGAGTTTCCTCATATGTGATTGACTTGAATTGTAAACTTGGTTCCTAAATTCTGTCTACTTTAATTTTTATAGTTTCTTAGTAAATTTAATTTCTCTCTCTTCTTAAGTACTTTCTATTTTAGATTAATTTTTCTCAGGAATGCAAAAGTTTAAGTGTAGAGGAATTTGATAATGATTATTTTTATAATTAAATAAGTATAGAATTTGAAATATATTTAGTAAAATCTGTGAATAATTTATACCTATTTAACCATTTTTTTATTAATTTTTCTTCTTTTAATTAAATCAATTATAGAATAAAAGGTGATCTTGTATAAAATCTACTCAAATCTTTCACTACCTCATATCCTAATTATAAGAGCCAGTTGACTAATTTGAGGAGATTCAGAAAATAAGTTAGTTATTTGTAATAAATAAGAATTTTTTTTTCTAAAATATCTTTGATAATCAAGTGTATTGGTTAGAACTACTATTATTAGAAGGATTATCTTGAAAAAAATTTATAAATATAAGAGATAAAATAGATTGATATCTTATATTTAGAACCAAAATAAAAGTCAAATGAGGTTTTATATTAAGAACTAGAGGTAGTATTATTTTTAATGCAAGATATATAAAATTATTGAGAAAAAAGCAACATTTGCAACAAATATAAATATATACACACGTATATTAAGAGAGAGGCGCCAAGTTCATGGAAGGAGCTGATCATCAATTATGATATACTACCTCCAATTCTAATTATAAGAACCGGTTGACTAATTTGAGGAGATTAAGGAAATAAGTTGAGTTAGTTATTTGTCCTAAATAGGTGTTGTTTTTTCTAAAATATCATTGTTAGAACTGCTACTTTGGAAAAAATATATATAAATATAAGAAATAAAATGAATCGGGATCTTATATTTATGATCAAAATAAAAGTTAAACAGAATCTTATATTAAATACCCAAGATAATGATATAATATATTATCTTGAAGGACATAAAGGGGTGGAGAGATGTGAGGCAAGTGGATTCACGGACCAAATCAATTGTAATATAATATATTATATTATATTGAATACTGTACAGTACAAGAAAGGAGACAAAATCTTTACCGAAAGAAAGAAAGAAAGAAAGGAGACAAGAGGATAACCGTGGATATTGCAAGCAACAGTAACGCAAGGCAAATCAATCATGATATAACATATTATAATATTCTTTCTGTACTTAATATGAGGCTTATTTAACTAATTTGATTAGATTAAAAAAGTTAGATAAGTTAGTTAATTATAAAAATATAATATGTTTTTTTAAAACACCATAATTATTTTTCTTAATATTCTTCCTCCATTTTTTTACTTAATTATAATTAAGAGAGTATTCATAGAAGTAATTTAGAAAAAATTGATAAATATAAAAAAAAGTCTTATATTTGGAAACAAATTAACTCAATAATTAGGTTTTATATTAAGAACCAGAAGAATATATATTATATTAGAGATATATGAATAAACCAGAAGAATATATATTATATTAGAGATATATGAATAAGAGGCGGTAGATTCAAGGGATTAAATAGAAACCGGAGAGGCGGAGATACATCAAACAGAGAAGACTCTTGGCGGCAACGAGAAGTTAGAGGGACAGCAGCGAAGCTTTCATCTCTGATTCTTCATTCTTTTTCATTCTTTCGCGTTATGGATTTTATTTTAGCCGTGTATAGCTCTTTTCTTTAATATGGAGTAATTATGAACTTACCTATGAACTAGACTTTGTTTTCATTTAATTAATTATGTTTGATGTTAATTTTGACTAATTAATCCTGTTTTGATTTATCTATTTAATGTTTGGTGTTTATTAAATATGAGTTTGAACATTGAGTTTGAACATTAAGATTAGCTTTGACGAAAGAAATTTTAATTAGGCTCTAGGATTTACTAATATGGAATTAGATTTTTATTTGATTTACAAGTAGGATAGAAATATATCTGGGAGCTCCATATAATTGATGAAGAGTGAAATTAATTTATCCTCTTAAAGATTTGAGTTAGACATAACCTTATTACTTAGAAAATGGTTATAAGTGGATTGAAAGACACTTTTAACTATAAATACTCTATATTAACTAAATTAATATTGAGACTAATTAGTTAAATAAAAATAAAAGTCTATGAAACTAGTAAGGGATTAGTAACTTTAGGTTACTTTTAATCATGAATTTTTTTTGTCTTCATTCTTTTTATCCGATCAACCATAATTCAGCTTGCTTAACTTAATTGAAAATAGAAACTTCAATTTCTAAACACTATTTTATCTGATTTTCTGTGAGAACAATACTCTATACTTACTTTTTATTACTTGATTAACAAGTGCACTTGTGTTATTCACAATTTGTGTGCATCAGTCTTAAATATAAGACTTACATATAGTTAAGAAATTGGTTTGATCCTAAATGTATGACATTAATCCATTTTATTTTTCATGATAATTTTTCTTAAATTATGTACCTTATCTAACTTAAAAAAGCTGATATATAATCTAATATTGTATAGAGATATTTCATGAATGCAATGTCATATACCTCAGAATTAAGTAACTCATTTAATTTTTTTTGATTTATCCAAATTAATTAATTAGCTTTTTATAAAAGAAGTTTAATATCGGCTTTCCATAAATTTACTGCTTCTTGTCCTACAACTTTTTCCTTCTCTCACAAATAAGCACTGTTGTCAAACTCGCAAGTTGACTCTACGAGTTTAACGTTTTTACGTTTTTAATTAACAAAATTGTGTCGATTTATTTGTAAACTCATGATAACAATAAACTCGGTTAAACTTACGTGGTCATTTATTGAATTTACCGTTTTTACATTTTTAGCTTGTAAAATCATGTCAACTCGCTTTTAAACTCGTGCTAAATTTTTGGATTTGATTATATTTAATGACTTTATATATGAATTTTATAAAAATTTCTTTGTTGAATGTGATAAATTATGAACATTAATGGATATAATTTCAATTTAGAATATATTTAAATGAAATTGTTCTCATTTTTTATATATTAATTATTTGATTATATATTTTTAATATTAGTTTATTAATAAAAGTAAATTCTTACAGGTTTACGATCTGAGTTTATGATCCGAGTTTATATTATTATCACGACTTTGTTTAAACTCACGAGTTTGACAATCTTGCATATAAGAGCCAAAGTGGCCCAATCAAATGCGTCGGTAAGTTTCTGTATATATGTAGATGCGTATATGGGTATTAATTTAATGCTTAAGGCTAAATATTGAATAGGACAAAGGATGCACGCTAAGAAAATTTGCCTTGGATAATGTATTATCTAATACTATTTGTGCTTAGTTTTCATATCATATTATTTAATTTATGAGTCATGAACAACACTTATCCGGTCCAAAATATAAGAATTATATATAGTTAAAAACGGTTTTGGTCCTAAATGTATGAAATTAATCTATTTTATCTTAAATTATATAATTTATCTAACTTGGGAACTAATATATAATCTAATGTTATATAAAGATATTTTAAGGATATAATATCATATGCATTAAGTAATGTATTTAACTTCTTTAATCTACTCAAATTAATTAATTAAAAGAAATTTAATATGGGCTTTCCATGAAATTGTTACTTCTTGTCCTACAGCTTTTCCCTTCTCTCACAAATAATAAGATCCAAGGTGGCCCAATCAAATATGTGATTTTGTATATATGTAGATGAGCATATGGGTATTAATTTAATGCTTATATATACATAGATATGATTTGACCATTCCAAATGTGTTCATTGAGCATATATATACTTTGGATTTGGATATCTTTTAATTCGTTACTTTAAAAAGCAGTCGATGAAAATATTAGATATATACTTTTGCAAGTCTTTATCATTAGATGGCTTATATAAAGCATACTAGCTTGATAGGCATATATACATGGAAGTCACAATAAACTGCTGTATTATATTATATTATTCTAAAAGCAACAAAAAGAAACGTTGAACGTTGAATGCCCAAATACATCGATTATTTATGTCTTTCATTAGAAAAGTGAGAAAACTATATTGGAGGTACTTATACTTTTTTTCAATTTTCAATTTGGTACCTATGTGTTTTTTGTTCTTAACTAAATCTTTATTTTTCCTCTATTAACATCATTAATCCTTATGTAGAGACTAAAAATATCAATAGAATAAAGTTATAAGAGCTAATGTTGCTAAAAAGATAAAATTAAATGTTTAATTAAAGGGAAAAAAAACACATAGGTACCAAATTAAAAATTAAGAGAAAGTATAGGTACTTTCAATATGGTTTTCCCTTAGAAAAGTTGACCGGCCAACTCCATGCATGCACATATTCGATGTTAATAGGAAATTGAAAACAACAACCTACCTACAATATAATTACTTTTTTTGTCATTAATATAAAACCTATTTAATTATTTTGATTAAACTAAAAAAGTTAGTTAAGTAATAATCATAGATATGGCATATGTTTTTTAAAATACCCTCAATTCAAACTTCTTTTAAAAAACTAACATTTCAAAAAAAAAAATTTAGACCATAAATGCGTTAATATGATTAATATTTTATCATGCTATTCTTCGAAGATAAAAAATTCAATCAC